TGCTGCCAGATATGCTGCCTCCAGCAGCAGCAGCACGTGCAGCAGCAGCAGCAGCAGCAGCCGGCAGACGTCGCGCTTCTCGTGTCTTATATCCCAGCCATCCTGCGCTGTGCACCCATGCGAGTCCAGCAGTTGCTGTTGCTGCTGCTGCTGCTGCCGCAGCTCGCTGCTGCAGCAGCAACGGGGTAGCCCAGACCCCCACAAGCCCCAGCCGCAGCAAAGTGCTTACATGCTGCAGCAGCGAAGACCTATCGAGCAGCAGCGGCTGCCGCTGCAGCAGCTCAGCTAGCGACAACCACCGCAGCAACGAGAAGGTCCTTGGTAGCACCTGCAGCACGCACTCTCCGTTAGGCAGCAGCACAATCGATTCTTCTGGGGGTTTACGGGGTTTGCTGCGGCTCCGCAGCAGCAAACTGCTGCTGAATCCCTGCTGCAGCTTCCTTCTATCTGCCTTGTGAGGTGTACACGCAGCAACAAAAGCAGCAACAAGCAGCAACCGAGATAACCGAGGCAGCTGCAGCAGCCGTGCTGCGCTGTCTGCTGATGCTAGGGACCCCCCCCAGNCAACCGAGATAACCGAGGCAGCTGCAGCAGCCGTGCTGCGCTGTCTGCTGATGCTAGGGACCCCCCCCAGATGCTTGCTGCTGCTGCTGCATTGATACGACAGTCAACTAGGTCCGGCAGCAAGCGGGAGAATGGGTTTGCTGCTGCAGCAGCACAGCTGCTGCGTAGCTGTTCGTGCAGCAGATCTAATGCTGCTAGCTGCTGCGTCACCAGCAGCAGCTGCAGCGCCTGCCCCCACAGCTCTCTACATATAAACTGCAGTTCTCTATAGTCTGAGCCTATATGTAAATACGCACAACGACAAACATCACCACAAAACTTTCTCCATATCATCAGTACGTCTGTCTTATATCCCGTATCAACGCGCACAAGATATACACCCCATGAGCCATCTGCTGCTGCTGCTGTTGTTGTTGCTGCTGCTGCTGCTGTTGCTGTTGCTGTTGCTGCTTCTGGTGCTGGTGTCGTTGCTGCTGTTGCTGCTGCTGCTGGGTTTTGGTTGTCTTCTGTGTTACGCTCAAGCTGTAGTGTATACGGGAACTGCTTCGGTGCTGTGCTGATGGCGGTGCGCAGCAGCGGCAGGCCCAGCTGAAGAAAGCTGCGCTGCAGCAGGAAAGCAGCAGCATCGCGCGAGTAAGCAGCAAAGCGAACTGTGGGGGGCACAGGCAAGCCATCNTGCTGTTGCTGCTGCTGCTGCTGCTGGGAGTGGGCGCGGGTGAGCTGCTGCTCATGGTGGTGGTAGAGGTGGTGTTGGTGCTGATGCTGCTGCTGCTGCTGCTGCTGCCGGTTGTGGTGGGGAGGGGGGGGATTGCTGAGGGGGGTGCAGCAATGGCTTCTGCTTCTCCATAGAGAAGCTCTTGCAGCCGCAGCAGCGCCTGCAGCAGCTCCGGCAGCAGCTGTCGCAGCGCCTCTGTGCCGTCAGCAACCAGCACAACACTTCTTGCTGCTCGAGCTGCTGCTTCCTGCTGCGCTGCAGCAACAGCTGCTGTTGCAACTCCCGTTGCTGCTGCTGCTGCTGCGGTTGCTGCTGCAGCGCGAAGCGTAGCACCAGAAACCAGAAGCAGACGACCCAGCATTTCAATGAAGCCGTCAGGAGCAGCCACCCGGGCCTTGGTGGCTTTGGTGCAGTCCTGCAGCAGCAACTTGTGCTGCTGCTGCAGCGCGCGGAGCTGCTGCAGCAGCCTCTCCGTGGGTTCATCCCGATGCTCCTCCTCCCCTTCTTTCTGCTGCTGCTGCTGCTGCAGCTGCTGCTGCAGCCTGAATAGAGGTTCGCAGCAAGTCTCTGCCTCATCCTTTAGCGTAGCAGCAAGGGACCGCAGCAGCTGTAAGTACAGCAGCTGGCGCCCTGCTGCACCATCAACAGCACCAGCAACAGCAGCATCAGCGTACCCATGAGCAATGCTGCTCTCCTGCAGCAGCAGCCGCAGCAAGAAGCTCTTCCCGCTGCCTGCGCCCCCCACAACCTGCAGCAGAGGAAGGGGGGCCCCCAGGTCCCCTAATAAACCAAAGAGATTTGCGAGCTCAGGCAGCCGTAGGGGGCCCCCCGCCTCGATAAGCTTTTGGTACCCTCTCCTGAACGGAGCAGGAACTGCATCTAAACAGCATTCCTCACTGCTGCTGCTGCTGCTGCTGCTGCTGCCGGTGTGGGTGGAGGTGCCGGGCCTAGTCTTCGAGGAGGCGACAGGCGTGGTCACAGCAACCCCACCTTGCTGCTTCTGAACACGACGAGGTGGGACCGGAGATCCTATGGGAGATGCAGCATCTGCTACTGCTGCTGCTGCTGCTGCTGCTGTTGTTGCTGTTGCTGTTGCTCCTGGAACGGCATCGGAGAGGGGACTTGCTGCAGCCTCCTGGCCCTTCTCATTGCCAGGCCTGGAGGTCCTCAATGGCGTCGTTTCAGATTGCGTGAAAGGAGATGGCTGCTGCTGCTGCTGTTGCTGCTGCTGCTGCTGCTTGTCCAGATGGAGGCGCTTCGCAGGTGAAGCTTCCGCTGTCCTCAAGGCAGNTGCTGCTGCTGCTGCTGCTTGTCCAGATGGAGGCGCTTCGCAGGTGAAGCTTCCGCTGTCCTCAAGGCAGAGAGAGCAGCGCGCTTGACTGTAGAGGCTGAAGTGGCAGCATGAGGCGGTGGTGCTGCTGGTGGTGCTGCTGCATGCGCTGCTGCTGGTGCCGCTGCGGCTCCGGCCTCTTTCTGTTCTGCCGTTGCTGCTGCTCCTGCGGTCGCCGCAGGAGTAGAAGAGTTAAGAGGTGGCAGAGACGAAGCAGCAGCAGCCGGTGGTGCTGCTGCCTGCTCTGTGCTCATACTGGGCTCCCAAGTGCTGGAGTTGCAGGACCAGTGGTTGTGGTGTTGGTGCCTTTGCTGCTGCTGTTGGCGGCTTGTAGCTGTTGCTCCGTTGGCTGCTGCAGCAGCTCCAGGTGTATCTGACCCAGTTGCAACCTCTGCAAGAGCTGCTGCTGCTGCTGTCGTCGCAGCTGCAGGACCTCTTGCTGTCTCACCTAACACTCTGTTAGGCCTTCGTTCTCTTTGGGCTAGATGGATCAAAACATGAGTTTTTTTTGGGCTTCGCCCTGAAGAAAAGGAGAAAACTCCGTGCAACGAAATACTGCAGTCTACGCACACCGCAAACGAGGTGGGGTTGTTGTACACAGCCCCACAAGACACCGACCGTGTCTTGGGCCCCATACTGAATCAATCAAGGCAATTGTCTTTATACCTATTCATCTATTTATTTACTTGTTCATATATGTACATAATATATATACTATATAGTTCGAGCTAAACGGTATGTTAATGAA